AAAATTAATAAGTTGGATATTTTGGAAAAAACAAAACTCCCATTCAGGATGATAAAAATATGGAAATTGGTTTTTCAGTTGAACCTAACTCTTCAAGAAATTTACCCTGATCTGATGCTATTATTTCTCTTGTAAATCAGCAATCTGTGCGGTTCTGAATGAAATATCATCTTGGAGCTGTTTTCTTTCCTTTTCGATTTCTTCATTAGGAGTTTGTTCATTCTCATTATTTGATAATGGTTTTGCTTTTATGATTTCTAATTTCTGCTGAAGTGAAGCACGATCTTCCATTAACTGCTCAAGTGTTTTTTGGGCGTCAACTGTGCTCAATGCTACATCCACTTCTTGTTCAACCCAAGCACGTACTTGGTCAGCCTGAAAAAAAACAATTAATAAACTTATTCAATTCAATCTAAGATAATTGTTCAATGATTTTATTCATAAGCATTTGTTTTCATAAATAATTCATACCTTGCCTGGCCCAATCTGTAATCTTCTAGTTTGTGCATTTTTTTGTCTCTCTAATGCATCCTGCAACCATAAAACAAATATCAAAATATCATTTGCATGATTAAGGGGGTATTGTAGTGTAGAAATTCAAAAAAATCGAAATTTTTTTTATATCATATTTTCAAAGTTTAACTATCTAGGAATATGTGTACGAGAAGGTTTTTGAAAATTTGAATTATTTTCGGAGATATAGGCATTTTACTGACGCGGTCTTCAAACTGGTTTGGCAGGGTTTTATCGGACAAAAGGCATTAGGAAGTCATTAGACCAATTTAAGACAGTTTATCGTCAGATGAATTATTAATTCAATGTATAGGTTCAGCAACTCAGAACAATATTGAATTCGTTGATTTGGATTTTCGGGCCGAAACATATTCATTCCCGATTGCTGTTTGCATATTCAATGAAGGTTTGTTTCCGATTTAAAAATGATTACCCTTATGGTAATGCAAATTGGGCCAGAAACTCATTCATTTGCTCTGCCCGAGACAATGCCCGGATTGAACGATCTGAAATACGTACATCCAACGCTTCAAAGGAGGCTAGAACTGCTCGATTGAAAGAGAGAAATGCAGAATTTTTTTTTTTGAAGTAGAAAAAGGTTCGATGCATGAAGCAGGAATGGCAGAATAAATTAAAAGAAGTATAACATTTCATTTTATGACTTTGACAGCAAAAAACTTCATGCAAAACTTTCAAAAATGCGTTTTTCTCAGAACAGGCTTTTTCAGTACTGTTGACATGATTTCTCGAGTTCTACTCGACCAATTCACTTGAAATGTTCAGAGAGTCTCGTTTATAGACCTATCTGTAGCCAGAACTAGCATCATCCCAAAATTCCAATTTTTACTATATTTAAAAAATTGTCACCAATTTGTAAAAAAAATTTTTTCACTCATTGCTAGTTCGGGCCATTGCAACATTTCTTTTCTTTCGGATGGCTTATAATAAAATAATGTTAATAAACAAGTGGTAAAAAAAATGGATAGTAAAAACATTCATTGCTTTTTTTACGACACTTTAAAAATGACCTAAAATTCATCACTCTACACTAGAATAGCCCCTTAAGGCAAGACTTAAAGATCATAACTTCATACATATTTGATTGTTAAACAATAATCAAAATTGAAATTATAAAGATAACAATAAACAATTATAAAACTGCATTATGTTACATTGAAAGTTTCACAATTACAATACTTATTTGCAAAAATGTAAGTATTTTTAAATATTTCATTACCCTCAAACGCTTGTTAGTTGCTATTGTTTCCTCAACTTTACGTTTGAGAACATTGTGCTTCTTGCCAAACATTTGTTGCATACGTGCCATGTCATTTTCTCGTTTGCGATCTTGATCTTTTAATTTTGCCATTTCACGATCCCGTGTAATTTTCCAATTTCTAAAGCTTTCTGATTCTGCACGCATAGTCCTTATCAATTTTACCTAGAAGATTTTTTTTTCAGAATATATAATTTAAAATAATATTATATAAGAAAAACAATGTTTCTTTTATATTTATGAAGTCTATTATTTTGATAAATCTTACTTTGCTGGCCTTGATTTGTTGGATTTCACTATTTAAAGTTGCTATACGTTGATCATTTTTTTCTTTTTAGTTTTAGCAATCTATTCTGTTGTATCAATTTTTTCTGAAGTTCTGCAATCTCGGTTTCTGCAAAATATTAATTTTACTGAAACATTATTCACAACCTACAAATCACATTTGTTAAGTTACATGCACCACACTTTATTCTGAACTAAACACCATATTTACTGATCTAGGATTTTATCAAACAGAGACTATAATATTTTCAGACCTATCAGAACTTGTTTAATTATATATAAAGTGATTATTTCTTAAAAATACTATAAAAAACAATATGTATATTGTAAATGAACACTACAAATTATTACATTAAATAATAATAAATAACACTTTAATCCCCATGATAATAACTTCATTAGATAATTTACAAAGTTAAAAATGTATCAAAGTTAAAAATGTATCAAAGAATTTGTCTTTGCCAAAATTCCTGGAAAAACATCAGTTTTTATGACACACGTATATGGTCCTATAGTCGGGAAAACCATAAGTCATATCAGTTTTATATGCAACATACAACATACTGCTAATGTATTGTTTGTGCTGGATATTTTTGGCATTGTTGCATATGAAATGGCTCGTGTAGAACCTCTTAGCATCAGGTACATATGACTGACATGACTGACATATATATATATATATATATATATATATATGTTTATTACTTTTATATATTTTATATTATTAATAATTTATTCAAACAAACCTAAAGCCTGCACACGTTTCCTTCTCTCTTCAGCCAATTTGGACGAAGCATTACTTTGCATATTTCTTATTTGCATCATTAGCTCGTCCCTCTCCTTCTGAAGTTTAATTATGACATCTTCATTTTCTCTTATATTTACTTGATATTCAGCTAAATTCATATGATTTTGTGCAACTTGTGCAACTAATGTTTGCTTCCAAGCCAATTCCTTATTTAATTGTTGGAGCTCTGTTGTCAAAGCTGCCTGCTGAGATAAATGGTTATCTTGTTGTTCCTCTACATCAAGATCAGTAATGCTTTCAGATGATTCTAAGTGAAGATCTTCTTGAATACCACTACATTTACTGGACACTTCTGATACAGGTCTTTTTTCAATATCATGGTCCAAAATATCAGTAGAAACTTTTTTTAGTTCTTTCTAAAAATGGATTTAATACTGTCTTATTTTAATAAATATGTTATTCTATACTTTTATATTTCAAAAAACACTCTCAAACTTATCATTAGAAGCAGAGTTTTTTGAATTGTCAGTTATATAAAATACAAAAACAAACCTGCATTTCATCTATTTTTTCTTTAATTCTATGTAAAGTACTATTATTAGATGAGTTTTCACTTGTGCTTAACTCTCCCTTAGTTTCATCAAAAATTGCTCGCATCTCCGTCAATTTATGAGTCATTCGTTCATTTGATGCTTCATTTAATATTACTTTCTCATTCAAGCATGCAATCTCCATTACTGATGAATCTAATGCTTTCAATAAATTATTATTTTTGAATCTTAACTCCTTTATCTGAAATTAATAGAATAATGTATATAATTTGTATGTATTATATAAATAAGTAATAATCTTTTAGAATTTTTTCAAGTTTCTTAATTTTTCTTTACAATATATAATGTATATATTGTAATATTAAACCTCTATTCTATATAAAAGTAAATTATTGTGCAAAATGTTATAACCTCTTGTCTCAATTTCAGTACAAGTTCATTTTTGTTGTCGCCATCTCCATTTTCATGTATAGTGCCCTTTCCTAATAATTCCATTCGCAATTGCTGAATAGTGTTTTTCAATCTTATAATTTCAGCAGCCTTTGGATCTTGATTTACAACTGGTTTGTTTTTTATTTTTCTTGCTCTATCTGCATATCGTAATGTGCTAATTGTTTCTTCTAAATTATAGTCTGCTGGGCTTACACAAGCTATCATCAAAGTAACAGAATTGCCCCCAAGCGAATCTAGAGATTGAAAATATATTACACATGACAAACAGATACGAGCGTGGTTTAGGAATGAATTAAACTCGTATCGAAACAACTCGTATGTCGTACGGATATATATGGCATATAACGGATGCCATATATATCCGTACGATATAATATATATATATATATATATATATAATATATATATATATATATATATACTAGCAAACCCGACGAACTCCGTTTCGCCACCAGATAAAGAAATTTTTTGTTCGTTTTATATTTGAAAAGGAAAAATGTGATTTTATTATACAACAGTAATGAATTTATTTCGATTACAAAAATGAAGTGTTTTTTAGATGAACTTCTCTAAGTAAATGAAAGTGAATCCGCAAATTATCCGTTTCATTGAAATGCTCTTTGGTAAACCACATTTTTTGTTTTTTGGTCTGACGTTAACACAAACAAAGCGGATGGTTTCCCAACTTGTGAACAGGCAACGTTTAACTGCCCATATAAAAAACAATGATTTTCTAAATAATCTATTTGAAATTTATCCCGCAAAGGCAAGGCGAACTGGAAATTGCGATCGTTTGAAGTCAAACGAAAGACCAGTCGGAATCATTGGTAAGTCACTAAATCACCAGCAATTTTTGATTGAATGGTGAAATTCAGTGCGTGTACATCATTATTCTTTGCGGCAAGAATTGCCCGTTGACCTAACCAAGCATAATTCTGATAATTCTCACTAATGTCATTACTCGAATTTTTAATTACGGTGCGTGAAGTTCCAGCAATTTGCATTAAGGCACGATGCCATGCACCACTAATTTTCTTAGCTATAAACCTTGCGGAGCCCAAGATCTTTCTAACAAATGCAAAATTGTCAAAATCGGTTCGTGCGTTCTGGAGTTATATCGTCAGGAAGGAAAACTCGACTTATTTTTATATATATGTAGATGTAGATAATCAATTTGAAATTATTTTAAACAATTGTTGATTATTTTCATTACTCGAATTTTTAATTATGATGCGTGAAGTTCCAGCATTTTGCATTAGGGCACGATGCCATGCACCACTAATTTTCTTAGCTATAAACCTTGCGGAGCCCGAGACCTTTCCAACGAATGCAAAATTGTCGAAATCGGTTCGTGCGTTCTGAAGTTATTTCGTCAGGAAGGAAAACCCGACTTATTTTTATATATATAGAAGATATATATATATAGATATATAGAATTTTGTGATGTAAGTGGAACGAATATTAAATACGACACTCAGATTTTTAACACACACTTTAATAATTACAGACATTTCGAAACCATTGTATGCCTCATCTTTGAGGTTCGAAACCATTCCAATTGAATTGGTTTTTGAAGGACCAATTTGTTGTAAAACACTTTAATTATAATCTTATGTGTTTATTTTAAATTTATTACAAATTATACTTGTATTACTTTTAATGTTTTGAGTATCGTATTGATTGACTTTATTTTGATTGATTCTTATTTTGGTTATATCATAAATCGGATGATTTGATTCAATGTGAACAATATGTTTTGTATATCCATCGAATATATTTTGGCGCAAACAAATACATTAATATTTTATTTAAATTATATTTAATTTTTGAAAAACAAAAAACACCAACAATGCTTGACGCAGTACTAAACATGTGAATATATACAGAAATATTTGAAAACACATCGTAAGTGTCGAAGATGAAGGGACAAGGAAGGATATTATTATAACGTAAAAAAAAAGGAGTGCGCGATCGCATACTAAAATCAACAAATGATAGAACAGATTAAATTATTGAAGATAATAAGATAAATGAATGAAAATAGTAAATATAAAAATTAGAAATTATTAATGATGACACAAATATTTTACACGACTTACATAAACATCATTAATAATCTATAATTTTTTAAGTAAAACTTCTTTAGGCGCGACTAGGGTGTAAATCCGTACGAATGCAACGAAAGACCGTTACGCCCGAACTGTTCGTCATTCGCTCTCGATGAGATAATTTCAATACGGGTCGATTGTAATTAGTCGTCGAGTATATGAATAGAGTATATGAATAGAAATCTGTCGTTGTATGAGTAGCGGCATCAACGTTGTATGCGTACCGATATCAACCAGAAAATCGGCATAGATAAATAAACATGCTAATGTTACATCGTAGTACAAATCTTGATTTAATGAAAAATGCCTGAATCAGAAGAATATTTTACCCTGTTCCTTGAAAATAATAAAACCAATTAAACATTAGTGCCGTGTACAAAACATAAGTTTATTGATTAGAAATTATTTCTATATTATTCATAGTTTCTATAAATCTTTGAAGTTATTAAAATGGAAAATATTTTTTAGGCAGATATTACAGCTATTCAAAGAATGAGATTAGAGAAATACAAAATTACAAAATTACAAAATTCAAGCAGTCAATGAATGTATATTAATTTTAATTACAAAGTTCTTCAAACACAATTACATGATGAGTAAAGTTGCGAAAACAATATTTGTTTAGGCGTTGTTTAAAATAATCCACTGTGTGAAGGAATATTATAGAATTTATTAATCAGCAATTACTTCATTTCTCTAATGAAGGTTCATTTCTAAATGCTAATTACAATGACAAACCGATCATTTCATATTTGAAGTATGACTTTAATTACATTATTGCTCTTAAATATTATACATATTATTAATGCTATTATAATTTTGTTTATTGCTTGACGTATAAAAATTAGTATCCAAAATTTTCAATAGTGGTATTGAACGGAATAAAACCGGTATATTTAATTATAATCTCTATAAAAAAAATACTCTAATTTCATGTGCGTATTTTGAATGTTTTTATCGTCTTACAATAAAAATTGCAGTTTTTACAACATCTCTCTCTTTCTATAATTATTCAAATCATTAATCTGTTGTCTGAAATGATTTGACCATATTTTCATTTATCCAAAACGCCATTTCTATCTAAGCTTTAGTTTACCTTGAAGTAGTCTTGTTAATTTGCTGTCACGATAACCTATGAAACCCGTACAGCCCTCGCCTAATCTTGATATGACATTACCCAGAGCTAACAATCCTTCATTAATTTTTACACCTTCTCGGAAGCGATTACCAGTTGCTTTAGTTTTATTTGCTCTTTCAGATCCTGCCAAGTCTACCAAATGGAACTTGCAACTTGTTAGACTATTTCTAGTAATAAAAAGGAAATATTTAGCCATTTAAATGTGGAATAATGGACTTAGACAGAAACTGGTATCAAATTTTTCCAAACTTTGATGCATTTATTAAAATTAAACCTCTTGTCGCAGGACCAATTAAATAATCGAATTACATCAAATGGCATTTAAAATTATGAAGTCAGTTCAATCGTTTTTGTGAAAACGTCGACAAGAGATAAAAAAAAGCTAATATACACACACATGCATAATTTTTGCACAAATGCTTTGTATGTATGGTATCGGAGCTAGTGAACAATTCAAAAACCATTATTTTCGTTCATCATTAGTAGATTCAGTGTTTAATAACAAAAAAAAAAATGTAAAGCTTATTAATATTACTAAATATTACTTACTCATCACTGATTTTTTGCTGTTGTATATGGATAGTGAATATTGCATGGCTTCTACTGGATTGACTATTCATAGCAGTTGCACCTACAGCTCTGCGATGAGATCCTCTAACTAAACAATCTAATGTATCTTTTGCATTAAATACTTTAATTTCGGTTAATCCAGGAATTACAATTCCTTTTTGTTGATCTTCTCTGATATCAACTATACTTTGATCTCTATTTGATTTTGATAAAAGATCAAATAATTGTTCTTGATATAATTCCATAAATGATACCTGTAGAATACATGCGAAATTACTTTACTGAAGAAATGACACTGTTATTATTATCTTTATAATTTCATAAAGTATTATGATTTCTAAAAGCAAATTATATTAAATAGCAAGGCCAATCAATCCATACACTCCTTCTAAAGAGTGCAGAACAATTATATTCAACCAAACATCCAGAAGCACAAACACAATGCAAAAATTTTGTAAATCTGGTATGTTTAATTTCTGACCATTTATGGATATTCAAATAAACCCTAATTACAGTGTAAAAAGGTTATGGCTTTTAAATTCTAATTCTCATTTAAACCCCATATGCTCCTTAACTATACACTTTAAATTTATTGCTTTAATATTTGGAAAGTAGTTTTATATTGATCTAACTTGTAATCCAAAATCATATTGTTCCTTCAGAGTTGAAATTTTTTGAAAAATGTCTTTTACTGCTCTTGGTATAACACCCATCTCCTCGACTGGCCCACCTGAATAAGCCGTGCCCATGGAATGAGTTTTTCCAGAGCCAGTCTGACCATAAGCTAATATTGTCACATTGTAGCCTAAAATATATTTTTAGATTAAACAAAATAATAAATAAAAAAGTAACGATACTGAAGATTAATGTAAAAATAGAATTTGCGATTATAGATATTGAGAGATAAATTCACCTACACCAAAGTTATGTTAGATATGTCAAAATTAAATTCTAGAAGAAATAAGTTACCCTTAAACAATCCATCAACTAAACCCTTAACAGCAGTGTCATAAAATTCGGCTTGCGAAACTTCTGGTGGAAATACATGGTTGTAAGTAAACGAAAGATCTTTTATTAAAACTTGAGGTTCATTTGGCACTGTTTCGAGACATTTAACATATCCTTTAGAAATTTCGGTTTCCACTAAAGGCCTTATCCTTAAAGCCACCTGTACACTAACAGCAGAATCAGCCATCTGAAATTTTTGCAAAAATCGTTTGAGCAGGTGTAGATCTTATATGAGATATTCTATTTTATTTTAGAAAATGCGTAAGTTATAAAATATCATAATATATTATAATGAATATGCTTGCTATTTGTTATAAGAAGATTAGCCTACCTTAACCATAGCACTAAATTAATTATTGCAAAATCTAAAATAAAATAATTATACCACAAGTAATAATAAAATTAAATAAAAAAATTAAAATGCTTAATTAAATAAATTTATTAAAAGAACTCTAACACCAAGTATGCAAGGAGACAAAACTAAAATAAATAACCCTAAATAACGTTATTAACGACCATTATATACATATACAAATGCCAGATGACTCTTGAAAGAAGTATGGCGCAACAAGGGGCCACGTTCGCCAACCGTATATAAAATTAAATTTTTATATTATTTTAACTAACCTAAGTCCCTGGATAAATCATTATGAACATATTAATTCTTAAAATAACAAAATTAGTTATTAAAATCGAATCGCGATGATGTGTTGTACGTTGTTTTTATACATTTTGTAATATGAATCCAAAGATATTTTATTTAATAAAAAGTGGCAAGTTGTAAATTCTGAAAGTTTGACAAGCTGAGCTAACGGATGAATGGTTTGTAATTATAGTTTACAGAATAGTATTAGTAAATACTCACAAAACTAAACATTTTCTTGCAATGTTTGAATTAAATGTAAATTGAAATTCAATGGGTAAAAAAGCTTACTACTCAATGCTATTTTTTTCTTTTCATGTTCTTCCAATATCAATTTACATACTATAATTTAAAATGAATTATAGATTTTATTTTAAATTTTTGATATAACAAAATACTAAAGGCAGGGTCGACTTGATATAAAAGAATTAAAAATATATTCAATAATTGGGTAAAATTCAGAAATACTCACACATTTATATTGAGTTTTTGTGTTGACAATAGTAAAAGGGTATTATTTTATGTATGCACTCACAAATAAAACATGTAACTGTCATACATATGTAATATTGTTTTAGAACAATGATATACATATTTAATAAATGATATATTTGCTTATGTATTTCCTTAAATAGTAGGCATCTTACATTTATAGCAACTTTTCCCAGATAAATGCATTTAACCATGGATAAATATCATAAAGCAGTGATTCCAACCTGTGGGGCGCGCCACCCTGGGGGGGGGCGCCATACCGTTCCAAGGGGGGCGCAAAGCTGTTTCAAAAATATTATTTTGAAATGCTGAGTAAGTGTCAAAAACCAATCAGCAAAATACTTACTGATGAAATAGAAGTAAGTAAAGATCTTATTATTATATCAGGCATATGACTAGTCTACGAAACCAATTTTCGCATTACTTTATCTAATTACGTCCAAATACGAATGGATTAGAAATCCATTTGTCATTGAGAAACATGATGATTTTGGTCATTCAACAGCAGAGCAGAAATGATAATTGATTTATCTAGTGATAGTACATTGAAGCAGATGTTTGAGGACGAAAATATATTGTTGAGTTATGGTTACCAGTAAAGGACGATTTTCCTACTTTGACAAATAATGCTTTCGAAATTTTATTACCATTTATGAGATCTTACTTATGTGAAACAGAAAATTCTTATAATAAATAGTTATGTTTGTATGTATATTTTTTATAATACTGTGTATTATTTGGCATAATTTCAGTTATATTAAGTATATTTAAATTAAATTGTTAGAAAAATAAGAAGGGGGGCGCAATATTTTTTTTATTCAAAGGGGGGCGCAAGGAAGAAAAAGTTGGAAACCGCTGTCATAAAGAGTTTGCAGTCACATATTAAGGCTGTAACTCATGAGAAACAATAAATTTCTTATACTTTACTTAAAATATTTCAGTAGAGCATGAAACTAATTATACAGAATTACTAAATTACTCAAGAATTACATCTTGTAAGTTAATTAAAGAATGCAACATTTAGCAACATTTATTTCAATTAGTTAACATTTTAATTTTAAATTTCAAAAAACTTTTTTCAAAAAATAATTTTTTAAAGCCATTTTTTTTGAAGAAATATATTAATTTTGAAGACCTTGTTTCATAAATGTGCTTCAAAACTATTAAATATTAACAATTTAAGAAATGCAATTGATGAATGAAATTAGATTATTTTATTCAATTGAAAAAAAAAAATGTAGTGAATGCATAGACCTTATATTACATATGTATCTATGAGTAAATGTGATTGAGTAAATTTGCAAATAAGTGGAATATTTAGACAGTTGTATACTGCATCTTTATATTTCTACACACTTTGATGCATGTATATATTGATCCCAATTTTCATCTCACCGAAACAAACTATAGGTATAATTTTTTGTTTGAATAATTGTTTATACGAGTATGTATACTTTAACATATATTTTATCAGCAGAAGAATAGAAAGCAAAAACTTGATATTATCTTTATGTGTTTTTTATATTTCAATCTATTATAACAAAAATTACACCATAAATATACATACTGTATGTTTTTAACAATTATGTTCAATTTATCTATTCAAGATCAATTATTTTATGCAATTGGTATTTTGAAAGAAACTTGTTCATTTCTTTTAGATTACTACAAGTCTATTATGTAAATATTTGCATACAAATAGATTCACAATTAAGCATAGCATATATCTATTTCATTGAATTTTTAATTGTATAGTAACTGCAGAAAATACAAAGACGTGAGAGTTATAAGTATATATATGTCTGTAGCCCCTTCAAATAACATGACATGTTATGAGGATTTAATTCAGTCTACCCTCTGCTGACCAAATTCCTGTCTACACTTATATTTAATCTATTATTATCATCTATGTAATTGAAATAAGTTGTTACATTGGTAAGTTGATATCCTAAAATTAGTTTAATTAAATATAAATATAATTAAAAATATAAAATAAAATGCATTTACAAAAGAACATCTTCATTTATAGTATAATTTTCAGATAGTTTTTTGAACTTACTAATCAAATCAGAAATTGTAAGTTCACCGTGGACAACATTATCTCGGGTACGTACATTAACTGTACCACTGTTTTTCTCTTTTTCACCAACAACTAAAATAAAATTGAATTGAGCAATCTGTGCATTTCTGATTTTCTTGTTCATAGTATCACCAGCATCTGTATCAACCTCTGCCATAAATCCAGCATCATATAGTTTATTTTTCACTTCCTCTGCATATGCATCTAATGAAGGACCAACAGGAATAACCATCACTTGACGGGGTGATAACCAAAATGGCCATTTGCCAGCATATGATTCAGTAAGGATAGCAATCATTCGTTCAACAGAACCTAATATTGCTCTATGAATAATAACTGGTCTTTTTTTATCTCCGGTTTCGCTTACATAAGACAAATTGAATCTGATAGGTAATTGAAAATCTAATTGTATTGTTGCACATTGATGTGCCCTTTTGAGGGCATCTAAAATCGTAATATCGATTTTAGGACCATAAAATGCACCATCACCTGGATTTTCTTTCCATTTTTCACCAAAGCTGTCCAAACTATCAGCTAGTGCTTTTTCTGCTTCATTCACACATTGATGTCACCAAGATATTTTTCTGGTCGTGTGGATAGCACTAGTTGAAAAGTGAATCCAAACACTTTGTAAACATGCCTAAGAAATTCGAGACATGAAGTAATTTCTTGGCGTATTTGTTCAGGTGCACAAAAAATATGTGCATCATCTTGCTGAAACCTGCGAACACGAGTTAGGCCTGTCAAAGCACCTGATATTCATTGCGATGTAGGACCCCAAAATCAGCTAATCGTAGGGGTAATTCACGCCAAGAACGTGTACGATTATCAAATATCAAACAATGTCCAGGACAATTCATAGGTTTCAATGCAAATGTTTCTTTTTCTACATCAAACGAAAACATATTTTCAGAGTAATGAGCCCAGTGTCCAGAAGTTTGCCATAATTTTGAATTGTAGATGTTAGGACTAACAACTTCCTGAAACCCCCCTTTTGCGATACTCTTTTTCTAATAAATTCCACCAGTGTATTATAAATATGTGCTCCCCTTGGTTGAAAAAAACAAGATCCTGGGGATAATTCATGAAAGAAAAAAAGTTCTTGTTCTTTACCAATTTTACGATGATCGCGTTTAGCTGCTTCCTCCTGAATTTTTTCCCACTCTTTCATTAATTTATTATCAGGAAATGATATCCCATACATTCTTTGCAGAGTTTCTGCATCTGCCTTCCCTTCCCAATAAGTAGCTGAATTTTTTGTGACTTTTAATGCTTTTACTTTACCTGTGTTTCGTATGTGGGGTCCCCTGCATAGGTCAATCAAAGGACCACAACGATATACAGTTGTAGTAGGGGTATCAACTTTTTCATTCAGAATTCGAACTTTGAAAGGATTATACTCAAACATCTTAAGTAAATCTTCTTTTGTCATCACTAAACGTTCAAATGGTTGCTTTTCTTTTACAATGCTTTTAACTAAGTTTTCAATAAATGGAAAATCTAAATTAGAAATTCCTTTGTCTTCAAGAAACATCATAATAGAAACCATTATCAATTGGAGGTCCATAACATAAACATCCTCCATAAACTCTTTCCATAGCTTCTCCAAGAATATGGGCAGAAGAGTGCCAAAAAACTTGCTGGGCTTCAGGATCATCAAATTTCAATAAAGATAATTTGCAATCATATTCTAGAGGCCTATCTAGATCCCATAGTTCAGAATTGACCTTTGCAATAACTGTATTGTCAGCTAACCCTTGACTAATTCCTTTTGCAATATCATAAGGCGAAGTTCTCCAAGCCAATCCTTCAATTGTTTTACCATCTGGTAAAATTATAACAATAGTTTTTTCTGGTTTCGCTAGTAATTCTGCGTCATACTGCGATTTTAATTTATCCCATAAGGTAAGTCTTTCTTGTATATATGATGGCCACGGTTGTAATTCAGAAATATTAGATTTAGAATCACCGGTACCTTTCTTGGTAGACTTCATATTAATTTCTTTGATCTGCTTCTTAAATCTCTTCTTAACAACTGTCTGAGGTGCCGCTATATTACAACATAGACTTATGTTCCTAGGCCGCGTGTTCTCTGATAAAATATGGTTAAAACTTGTGTAATTCAGACCACGTCTTTTTAACCAGTACCAACTAACCAAATTGCATTTAAAGAATGAAGCTGTCATTTATTCAACAACTCCTAACTCATAGATGGATTAACTTAATGCGGAATTTACTATGAATTAGCACTGTGCCGTACATAAATAATAAATATTTTTACAGCTAGGGCAAATGTACAAACATTGCGTTAGAAGTTTATGTAATATGATTTGTATTCATAGATAATAAAAGATGGGTTTAGGCCTAACAAAGTTCCGAGGACTATCTACCAAGTATTATTATTCTATGCATTTTTAGAGCCAATCAGTTTCAAGTTTATTAGTGTGGTAGCTTTCAAAATGGATTATTTCTAGGCCAATATGATTTTGACATTTGTGAGCTATTTTTGTTATGGCTACCAGTAGTTCAGATGACAGTTATAAAGCACCAAGATATTTTCATTTATCTTCTTCAATTGAGGACAGTGCCAGTCGTTTAAGTGTTAATGGCCAAAAGTGTATGTTTATGTAACAATTGTAGAAAAACGTTTCATTGCAACATGTATTAGATTAGGCGATTTTTGTTCATTCAGCGTCGCACTTCTCTGAGAGGTATCAGCAATATGTTTACTGGTACTGTTGCTTAATCATATCCAACATAGACAT